TTAAAATTTTTATGCTTACTTTTATTTTGATATTATAAGATACAATGCTACAAATAATGTTGCTTTTAATTTTTTTAGTCATTTCAAATATTACTTTTTAATTTCTTTCTTATTTTTATGTATGATTTATATATTATAATGCCGTATCCGCGCCGTATCTGTATCCTGTATTTTTAAGAATTGACGTGTCCCGTATCCGTATCGTGTCGTATTCGTGTCGACGTATCTGTATCGGGGCAACATAGTCTTGAACCCATGGCTTGTGATTTATGTTATCTTAGATATGACCTTGTCTCGAGATTTCTGTTACTATAGCTATAAACGCGACTTTCAATTTTGGATACTATACACACAGCTCATCTTAGCATGTTGGTTGAGAGCTTAGGCTTCCAACTAAGAGGTCTTGAGTTTGAGTCTTTGTGCATGCGTTATGTGTGTGAGTTTAACTTAATTGGCCTAAATATTAAAAAAAAATAAAATTCGAATACTGTAGTTGTCGTAATCTGTAGTTCGAGACTTGCATGTTTGCTTCTTTTGTCGCAATCTGTTTTATGATTTCCTGCGAGCAGTTGCTTTTTGCGATGTTTATCTGGAGATTAGCCGATCGTTCCTATCTTTTAACGTTCTTATGAAGCTTTCATCAGTTAAATAATATGTATTTTATTCGGTGCTTTATGACTTTCAGTTTTGTAAATATTTCTTTGATGTACGTTTATCGCATGTTTCGACTTCTTTAAATGGTCCAAATGGTTGTTCTGACGTGTCATGAAAGCAAACCTGCTACCCATTGCATGATGGAAGGTCTAATTGCTGAGATTAAGGCTGTTATTAAGGAAACATGATTGACTTTATGTTTAATCATACAATACAAATGCATTTTAGGAGCTACAGAAACCTACAGTAACTTACTGATTAAGCATAATGAAGTTATAAAAGCTGTCAGAAATTACAGAATAAACTTATTCTTGAACTTATCTGTGTTCAGGTCCCAACGGTCACATATTGGATTAGTAGAATCGAATAGGAAAGGGCTTTGTTTTAGTAGAATTAAAAAAACAAAGCCCTTTGTTGATTCTACTAATCGAAGAGAAAAGAGCTTTATTTTAATAGAATGAAAGCCTCCTTTGTAGAAACTTAACCTCCGAAGCTTTACAGAAACAAGAAGACGAACGAGAGAAAGAAAGTAAACAGAGAAATATTATTCATTTCATATCTGCTTCATACGATACATATGTATTTATAGAGTATACAGATACATAAAGGGCTATACAACAAATCGGCTACAAATTACAATTAAGTATTCTTGTGTTGCTGCTCTAATACGCCCCCACAAACTAAGGATGGTCTTATTATAGTCAGTTTGTCTCGCAGCACTTGAAACCGGGACGTAGATAATGATTTGGTGAAAATATCTGCTACTTGATCGATTGTTCCTATGGGAAGAATTTGAATGTTTTGTTGAATAATATGATCTCTTACGAACCGGTGATCAATTTCTATATGTTTGGTTCTAGCATGAAACACCGGATTGTTTGTTAGAGCAATAGCCGATGTATTATCACAATAAATGCTTGTTGGTTGAGTTTGCGGTATACCAAAATCTGTGAGAATCCAGCGAAGCCAGACTACATCTGCTGTGAGTGAAGCTAAAGCCCGATATTCGGACTCAGTAGACGAGCGTGCCACCGTTGCTTGCTTTTTCACCGTCCAGCAGATAAGTGAGTTCCCGAGAAAGGAGCAAAATTCAGATGTAGTAGCAGGATCTTGCGCAGATGTATTTTGAGAAACAGAGATCGGCGTAAGAAATAACGGAGATAACTGTGAATGCTCAGCAGAATTGTTAGAAACTAAATTTGAAAAAGGAAAATAATATTCATCAAACTTCACATGACGAGATATAATTAATTTGTTTGTAGAAATATCAAAGCATTTATATCCCTTATAATTTTCGGAATAACCCAAGAAAACACACAACGTCGCTTTCGATTGCAACTTATGTCTTGCACTTTCCGGAATTAAAGGAAAACAGGCCGAACCGAAAAGTCTTAAGTGATGATATTCAGGAGCTTTGTGATATAATAGTTCAAACGGGGAGATGTTATGAGTATTAGGAGAAGGCATACGATTAATGAGATATGTAGCCGTAAGAGCCGCGTCTGGCCAATGCTTATAGGGCACCGAGGCAGTGAGAAGAAGAGATCTAGTCGTCTCAATAATGTGCCTGTGTTTCCGCTCAGCAACGCCGTTTTGTTCGGGCGTGTACGGGCACGAGATCTGATGAACAATGCCATGATGTTTCAAGAAGCTAATAAAAGTATTGTTAACGAACTCTCCACCTCCATCTGTTCTAAGACATTTGATTTTAGCTGATGTAAAATTTTCTATATAAGTTTTAAAAGTCACAAACACAGCAAAGACTTCAGATTTATGTCTTAATGGAAATATCCAAGAAAATCTAGAATAATCGTCGATGAAAAGAACATAGTAAAGCATGCCAGTATTTGATGCCGTGGGGGCAGGACCCCATACATCAGAATGAATTAAATCTAACACAGAATTTGCTCGGTTACGAGACAATTCAAACACAGATTTATGATGTTTGGCTTTATTACAAACATGACAAGTATTCATTGTTGTATCTATATGTAAACGAGGGTTACAAGAAACTATAGAATGAAAGATGCGGTGATTGGGATGACCCAATCTGTCGTGCCAAAGCTTATTGTTGTTACTTTTTGCCGTGAGCCCATAGTTCTTGATCGCCGGAGTCGAAGGAATCGAATATAATCCGTCACGGCAGGGGCCTTGAAAAAGAACTTGTTGAGTCGTCAAGTCCTTAAAAATGAAACCAGATGGATTAAAAATTACGGCTATATTATTATCACGAGTAAGTTGAGATATAGAAATAAGATTGTAATGAATTTCAGGAGAATGAAAAATCTTGGATAACAAAAGCTTACGAGAGGGAGTCGGTAGCAAGCCTTTCCCTGAATTTGCTATGCTAACCGAGCTCCCATCGCCAATGACGACGCCATCAGAGCCTTGGTAAGGTTGGGAAATAGACAGATTGTCCAGAGCATGCGTTAGGTGAGACGACACGTCGGAGTCAAGGTACCAATCTTGAGAGACACCAGATGAATCAGCCATAAGTGCTCTGGATTGCTGTCGTGGTTGAGGGACATAATTTGCATTCATCCTGTGCCAGCATTCGTTTGCCGTATGTCCTCTCTTGAGACATATCTGACATGTTTGAGTTGATTTTGTAGATGATTCTTTGGCATTGTTATTGTTGTTGGACGAACCATAAGAGCGACCTCGTCCTCTTCTACCACGCCCGTGAGAACCAAACAACGCTGTGTTTGGATTTTCAAACGGAGCCGATCTAGCCGAATCCGACGCAACATGAATTTCTTCAGATATAAGAAATGCATATAACTGATCAAGAGTTAGCGGTTGTGTCATGGTTCGGATTGAAGTTTTAAACGCTTGATAGGTTCCAGGTAGTCCATTGAGGATATACAAGATAATATCTTCTTCATCTACCTTGGCATCAGCCGCTGCGATTTGATCTACAAGCGACTTAATCTCGTTGAGATACTGCACCATCGTGAGATTCTTGAGAGAAATGTGATGCAACTCATTCTTGAGTTGAATCACTTTAGATCTGTTCGTCGATTGGAATCTTGTTTGAAGATTTAGCCAAATGGCTGCAGTTGTTTCCAAATTAAGAACATAGGGTAGAATAGAAGCCGAAATCGTAGAACACATGGCTGCAGCGAGATTTTGATCATTGAGAAGCCATTGATGGTATAGAGGATTAGAAGTGGACGACCCATCGGAGCGGATGACGATTTTGGCTGGAATAGGGCTCTGCGAATCAAGAAATGATTCGAGGCCATTAGCGCGACAGATTTTCAAGATCTGCGATCGCCACAGTGGATAATTATCCGGTGACAACTGATTTGGCACGGTGTTCTTGAGATTTGAAAGAATAAATTTCAGAGAAGAAGATAGAACCGGAGCAATGGAGATAGAGGTCTTGGTTTGTTCATCCGAGGTGGATTGAGCTGTGGTTGACGCTTCCATGGAGAACCACGATCTTTACCGGGAATCTGATACCATGTAGAAACTTAACCTCCGAAGCTTTACAGAAACAAGAAGACGAACGAGAGAAAGAAAGTAAACAGAGAAATATTATGCATTTCATATCTGCTTCATACGATACATATGTATTTATAGAGTATACAAATACATAAAGGGCTATACAACAAATCGGCTACAAATTACAATTAAGTATTCTTGTGTTGCTGCTCTAATATCCTTAAACCCAGCTTAGTTGAGTTGGTGGACAAGCATGATTGAGAACCTCTTAATTCATGTTCAAATCCTCTCTCACAGCGAGACTCCTTAAGTGAGGAAAAATAAAAGTAGGTTTGCCAAGAGATTAGTTACTCAGTCAGGCGCCTCTTATGGGGATAGCCCGTTCCTAACATTTTTTTTTGAATCTAAAATCTTTTTATTGATATTTAAAGTTCCTAATCCAATCAAGATGAAATTTGAATCTAAAATCTCTTTATTGATATTTAAAGTTCCCAATCAAATCAAGATGAGATGCATGGCTTTTATTCCTCAGATTATATTAAGATTGATGCCCGTTTTAAAAAATCAGTTAGAAAGTTCTAACTTCTAACTATTAAAAATAAAACATTAAAAAATTATTTTAGATTTAGTATATATTTTTAAAATTACATAAAAATATTTTGATATCAATTATATTATGATGAATTTGATTATTATAACATTTATTTTAAAATTAACATTATACATAAATAAAAATAAATTTGTTTCATAATACAATTTATGCAACGAAAATGCACGGCCCACCACTTGCCATGGTAAATCTTCGCAAAACATATTTCTGGAGGTCAACAATGTAATATCTCAATTAATTGCTATTGGTATTTTGTAAAGGTTGGAGAGCAAATTAATTTCACAGAATTTCAAGAGATCGGTGACCTTTTTGGTGTTCCCTTTCTTCGGACAATCCTGGGTTTTCGACTAGGTGTAGGCCCTTCAATCCAACGGCTGTGATCCTCCAGTATCAAATCGGACGGCTGCAAAGAATCGATAGAGAAAGTTGGCGCCACCTCAGGGGAGAGTTCCAAGTCTTCGAGTTTCGCCAAAGAACATGAACCATCGGAGAGGATATCAGCCTCCAGTTCCGGTGATTGTGCCACCTTCCTGAAGACTTTGCATGCAATTGAACAGTACCCGTTATGCTCCGCCACCGTTCGCTGGCAAGACTTGCAGAACGACGTGCCGGCGACGGCTGGCTTTGATGACTTCGATTGCATCTTAGGGTTTAGCAGAACTACTTTTGCTCCGTTGACAATGTAGGGCTGCATCAATTCATGAAAAGCGATTCATAATTTCCATCAATCGAGCAAAAAATCTCTCAAAAACCCCTGAACTGAACACAATTAAGAATTACTCAATGAGTTACCTGAACCTCGGAGCAATCAATCAGTTTCTGCATATCGCGGATCCGAATCACGTTCTGGTATATGTAGCGCCGAATCTGAAGCAGACGATGGTAGCGGTGCGAGCAAGACGGTGAGGAAACGCAGAACGAACACATGGACTCGTTACAGTCGACGCAGTATATGTTTCTCTCTATCTTCTTCTTAATCCCCTGATGCTCAGCACAAGCTCCGAAGAATTTCGTTGCAAGAAGCAACTCCAACCATGAAGGTATCTTCGTCTTCTTCTTACTATTCTTCTCCTCCAACATCTTTGATTTATAATGGAATGCATATCCAACCTAAAGTTCAGTAAAGTAAGCGAACAAGATCAAATTTTGGTTAGCAAACATAGCTTTAATCAAAGGAATACGAAGAATTTGCGTGAAATTACCATGTCTTTCCCAGTTTTCTAAAGGCGACTGGGCGCTTGAAGAGATCAGAGAAATCAAAAAAGGGGGGTTCGCTTTCTGAAATAGATTGGGTTCTTATGGGGGCGGAGAGGAGAGAAGACAGATTGTCGAGCGGGAAGTGGAAGCGATATGCGCTTCCCATATAAATTTCGAATTACGGATTAAATATGATCCGTTAGATACGGGAGTTTCGAGGAGGGTAGCCGTCGGATGGGAGAAGCGAGTTCCAGCTCGCGCGGCGCTGAGGAAACCCTAGTGTCGCATTGACACACGTGGCATATGTTGGATTTCCCGCCAGCGCAGATGGCGCCATAACGTAGGGCCCATCCACTTGGTCATGAGCATTCGGGCCCCAATTTCTGCTCGTTTCCTGAGCTGTCAAACTCTGTAAATTTTAGAAATTATCAATTTATTATTTTAATTTGATTGATTTAAATTTGTCAAACTAAATAAATTGAATGAATCTGATTTAATGTATATATAGGGAAATGAATAATATTAATTATTACCTTTAATTTTTTTTTCTGGAAAAAATTTGAGGCATTACCAGTGCTTATAAATAAAGAAAAGAAAATAACTCAATAAGGGTGTACAAGTTAAAGTGAGCTGGAACCAAAATAAAAAAAACCTCATAGCCAAACGAACCTAACTAACAAGAAAAACCTGTAGTTAAGAACGATAAAAGGATCTCAAAAAAGAAGAGAAGAATAAAAAAGAAGACCATGGACTTAGGAGAGACAACAACTAACCATCATGAAATCAAAAAATAAATCAATTAGCTAGCAAAACAATGAGCACAGAACAACCCTGATTGAAACAGCTCATCTTAGTTTGTTTGTTGGGTGCTTAGGCTATCAACTAAGAGGTCTTGAGTTCAAGTCTTATGTACGTGATGTGTGTGTGAGTGCCTTAATTAGCTAATGTAAAAAATCCTTTTTAGTTAGCTCGTCTAGCCTCTCCCCATGGAACTCGACACATCTTCTTCGTACTTCTAACATGGCTTCATAAGCCTAGTATAATGGTGATGTTACATATCCATTTATAGTATATTCGGTCGTGACACTCTTTCATAAGGCAGTAGACTCATAGTGAGCTGTATACATCTTCTGCCCCTATTAGTGTTTTCCCTAATGCCAGCCTATCCTATTGATATCCAAAGAACTCTTCCTCATTGACAACTATGTGAATCTATATGTGAAAGCATCTCTACGTTTGGCCATGCTGATGAGTACATCATCTATAAAGAAGCGTAGTCCAATACACACCAACTAATATTGCACACTCTAAAAATATGTTCTTAAAATTCTTATCCCCATCTAAGTATTTATTGAACAACTTACCACTTTGGTTCATCTTATGCAAGTCCTCGTTAGCTGGAGACTCCCCAAAGTTCAAACCAACGAGAAAAAACAAACTTTGAAATTCAAAAAGTTGTGTTCTTCCCATTAATGTGAAATATAATTCAACACCCCTCATTCTCAAACAACCTCAATACAAGTTAGTGACTTGGGTCCCAAAAAATATCATCTTAAGAGCATTAAAGAACTAACCAAAAGGGCATCTTTGGGCATTGTCAAGGAGATCATTAGCCTCAAATTATCTAGCCAGTTTTTCCATCACACCCCTACCTTATATGTAACAAGATTATTGTAGTGCCTACTAACCGATATAATCAGATCAAACAATAGCATAACATATCAATGCAAAAAAAAGTACATACAAAGTTGGTCGAATATAAATCAAATAATTCTTAATCAAAATTGGCTGTACCGCAAGAATATCAGGTTTAACATCATAGTTTTGTCCATTAATTAAAAATCCCCCCATCTATACATGATGTATATTACATACAACTTCATCTTCCATTTCTAGGGGGTAAAAAAAAACCATATTTTCTACTATGGAATCCCTCTCCGCAAACTTAGGGTCCCATTCAAAATTTGCTGTACCGCAAGATTATCAGTAATTGCGTCATTAAATTATCGTGATAATGGGAGAGGATGTGAATCCTATTTATCAATAAAGTATAGATCGAGAATGTGAGGGCTCAAACTCAAAAAAGTTTGGGAGAAACATTCTCAACTTTATAAGCTTTGATTAGATCATTTAAAGTGCATAAAAAAACTTAAAAGGAAAATAGAGGCATACATAGAGGTTGTTTTGAAAACTTATGTGGGATTCAATATTATGCTATGTCAGAAATTCTTTTTGTTTCGGTGGTTATTTGGTTGGCAGCATATAGGCGTAAAATAAAAAAAGAATTGTAGTTTTAAAATTTGGATTTTTTGATGGTAAATTTCAAAAACAAATTATTTTTTAGAGTGAATTTCAATTCACTATTTAGTTTATTTTCAATGTATTTGAAATTCGTCCGATTTAGATGAATTCAAAATGTATAGCTTGTGTAAAGTTATGTACCACTACCCACCATTGCCACCCATTGCTGCCCACTGTGAATTGTCGATATCGTCCACCATCGCTGTTAGATGCCACAATCAATTGATGTTGTTTCAACTACAACCTACATCAACCGCCAACTGCCAAGCAGTAGCCACCACTAATGCCATCATCTATAATTATTATCGGCTACGAATGAACTATTATTTCAAATATAATATTATTTTATTATACTTTTTTTTTTACTTCAAAGTAAATAAAATAATCTCTTATATTTATAGTGCACTAAACTGTACAACACAAATATATTTTTAATATGTTAGACTATTTTTATTTTATATTGGATTCATTTTTTAGTTGAACAAATAGCCCCTCAATTGTATGAGTGTCTGGTGACAAAAGATAAATTTTCTCACTTGATGTAATTTCAAATCTTATTAAAAAAAAGTTTCAGGGCATTCTAAGTGAATTTTTTCAACTATGATTCGCCTAACTTAAATCAAAATTTAGGAAAAACTTGTCAAACTTGCACTAAATTTTATTGTAATAAATAATTTATTAAAGAAGCACAGGTATTTTAAAAGCCTTTAAGTTGATTTCTAATTTTTTCGATTAAAATAGCCATCATATAGATGTTGGATTGAATTTCAACATTAATACTGTTTTATGTTGGGATTCAGATCTTTGTTCACCCTCCACATTCGAGATATTTACATAATAGAGGGAATTTATTAAAATGAGCAATTTTAATTTAATTAAGTGGAAAATATGTTTAAGAGATAATTTAAAAAGGAGCAAATAATAAAAACTAATTTTCACATTAAAGAAAATATTTAAAATAATTTTTTTTTCCAATAAATGTTGAAAAAGTTTTTTGATTTCAATAGAATAGAAATTTTTCTGCATTATATATTTGTTTGTAGTTAAGAATAAGAGAAATTACAGAAGACTACATTAATTTTACTATTATAAAAGATTATAAATTAGTATAAGAATATTATTGATAGTTTTAATTAATCTTGAAGTCATATATATGATTACAGTTAAGATTTAATTATATAAAAAAATAATATAGTACCAATTAATAAATGTTAGTAATTATTTATTTTAATATTTATAAACTACTTGATTTAAATCTGTATTATATACTAAATAATATATAATGTTGGCTATTTTATATTAACCCACTAAAATAAATTTGCAGTCACGTACTAATTTAAGTAAACTATAATTATAATTTAAAATCATCTAATAAACATAATATAATAGTAATATTTATTATATAACATATAGTTTTAACCACTTGTTTGGCTCTACGGCGAGGGCGAATTATTACGTCTGGTCACCGGACGTTCGGACATCCAATCCCGACGCTCCATGTCATCAAAATACACTGGGGCCCGGTGTATTTGGGTGACGTGGCGCGTCTAGATTGATCCGGACGTAATAATTTGCCCTACAGCGAGATAGACGTCCATCCCCAGAAGTTTTATACCCAATCAAACTATATTAGAAATACTAGGAGAATCAATGTCATCTACAATGACAGGCGAGTATTTCATTCCTATCAACAAGAAAAAGGGTAAAAAGATTCTATAAAGCTGATTTTACCGGCAATAGTGTTTAGCCATTTATTCATTATTAAAACCAATGAGTTCTAATTCACTACCTGAATGTCCTTTATGTATTCCGCCGCTAATTTTCAAGTTTGAATTACTGAAGGAATTGTTAAATGTGTCGTAAAGGTGGATGAGCCCTAAATTTCTGTAATTTTTTTAAAGAACTATTAAGATTTCTTATCTATTCTGCATACCGAATCCAGAAGCCTCGAATTAAAGAATGGTTGAAATAGAAGAAGAGTCGTCGCACCAGCCAATGCTCAGTTGTCAGTTCCCGAACCCAAAGCCACGTATTTCACAAGCCAATCGAGACTCTGCAAGGAAACATATACGGTCACAGATATGCTTTGTGTACTGTAATTTTGTGAAAATTATTCTGTGCGGAATCCAAACGTGTTCGGAGGCTAATTGGGAAGCGCCACGCCACCGGGGCCTAGTGCATCCGATGACATGGTGCGCCCCAATTCGTCTCCGAATGCGTTCGGATTTCGCACAGAATAATCTCTCGTAATTTTGGGGAAGTTTTTAGTGTTGACCCGAACAAACTTCACCTGTATGCATTCCGGAAGGTCGTCGGTTTTGCTCCTCAGGTGCGTCTACAAATATTGTATGGCCAGGATTACTGGGTTAGGCGAATGCTCTACACATTGATGATGCAATTGCTATTAATAAAGCAGTTCTCCGGGATTACCTCGAGGACCACATCGCAGCAAGAATCGTTATTGGTTGCAAGACAGGCAAGGATGACGAGTCCAGCAGCTACAGTTGAAGGCCAGAAGCAGAGAATTCCGTGGTCTAATAGCGTCAGTATGGCCAAATGCCGGCACAGGCCTTTCACTTTAGTACTTGCTCTCGCTGCCTTCATATAAAACCTAAAATCATACGTTACCTCTAAAATTAGCACCTATGTTATCGACATTTGGACGAAAATGGGCAGGAAATTATGAGTACCATAAGAAATTGTGGGTCGTAGGGAGGAAACACTGGAAGCTGAGAACCTCAAGTACGAGCCACTCCATGGAAACTACTTCACACCTCTTGTAAACGTTGTTCCCAACCTTGAAAGATCTCTGCCTTATGCTGAAATTGAACCAGGAAAGTTAAATTTATGAGGGCAACTTAATGTGCTAATTGCAATAGAAATTATAGAAAAGATGAATTTCATTGTTACAACTGAGGTATGCAACCTATTGAATGGTTGGTTCTCTTCGATTCTCGTAGCAAGAGTCACACATGCAATGCCTAGCAGTTGAAGATGCCTCTCGGTCTGAAAATATCCTCTACTCAGTACTCTGTCCATTAGATTAACGCCCAAGAAAAGCGTCTCGTCCTGGTGCTCCATCGCCTGGCAATGCTGCAGCCATTGTTTTGAAAGTAAGAATAGGCAAATTGTATAACCACCTCTCTTACACGACGTAATAAAACAATTGTGCCGAATCGTATTCATGATACAATTCTTATCGACAAAAACAAAACTGATCGCATTCATGATATCCCACCTAAAATTTTTCAGAACTTGAAATATGCCATTACATATCAAAATATAAGTGAGACCGACTTGCATTATCGAAGTACTATTAAGGAAGGAAGTGATAATGGAAATAATGAAAACGGAGAGAAAAAAGAAACATTAAAAATGGCGAGATAGAAAAAATAAGGTTGACAGAAGCATTACCTCCAGCATCCAGTTCACCATCGCGAGCCTCTGCCCAAGTATGAGATCTCCGAAATTGGTTGTAGCATAGTAGTCATCGGAATAGTCGTGCAGAGCAATCTCATTTCGCTCCCTGCTGCGGAATATCTGGTAGCTCTCCTCGATGTCTTTATCAGGAAATCTGACAAACTGAATGAAGCGTTGCCAATAAGTAAAAGCACATTATAAAACATAAAAAAATAACAATGAAATTAAGGCCTCGGACTTACGACAAACTCATCTGACAATTCGTTCAGGACTTTAAATTTCGCATTGGTTTCTGAATGAAAGCTGGACGGGTTGAATTGTTTCCAGAGCTGTTGAAGGAGAGAGAAGGCGACCGAAGGGTTGGAATTATCTCGTGATCTTTCGGAGAAGTCGTCCGGAGACTCGATGAGATCAGAGAGGGAGATTTCTGAAGAGTCTCCCTTACAGATCCCGTCAAAGAGTTCCGATTCTAACTCCGACATCGTCCTCTCGTTGCAGGCAGAATAATCTGAGCTTCCTTCGTCTTCGACGAGCTGCTCGGGGCAGGCCAGATCTGATTCAAGGTCGAGGTCATGCGTTTCCTCGCCGCGCACGCCTGTTTCGCCTTCGATCAGTAGTCCGCTAGCCTCGGCCGTGCTAGTGCCAAGGATAACCCTGGTATTGGCATCTGAAACTACAGGTTGGAGGCAAGATGATTCTGAGGCATCCGAAACCTTTGTTATTGACTTACTGGAATTCTTTCTATTCTTTAGATTATCGCCAGGAAGTGTTGTAGATATTTCAGATACTCCAGACATTGTGATCGCGTTTCCGTCGCTCTCGGTTTGTTTCGATCTTTTGGTTGCTGTTGCTGAATCGGAAAATTGAGCCACAACTCGACCAAAGCTTCCCGCGAATCCCGGCGATTGCGTTTCATTCTTACGCCTCGTGTAAAATCTGGCGATATGTCCGAATTGATCACTTGAAGAATCCCCTTGGAAGCTTCCGATCGATTTATTCAGTCGAATTTTGCGGAATGATCTTGGTCTCTTCGGATGTCCCTTGAATTCGACACTTATGTCGTTGGAAATCTCGCTGTTGATGCATGATGAGGAGGATTCCGCCTCCTCGGAAAGAAAGTAGCCACTCAAAGGAACACTGATGATTGGAAAGGCGGGAACCCTTTTCCGGCGGGGGATGTTGGATCTGCGCTTCTTCGCATGCTTGATGATGCATCGCTGGGACGTCATATCTGGATCCGCACCGAAGTAATTGGTGCTAAGATTAGTAGCCGGATGAACTTTCTGGTCTAGCTCGTGAAGTAACAGAGTGGTAAAGGGATCGAGAGCAGATCGGAGCAGCAGCCGACGAGGGAAGTGGGGGAAGCATTCTGTTATGGAACTAGTATTTATAAGCTGCGAAACGGTTACTTCCCTACTTGGCCTGATTGCTGATTAGGCCCTTGGATTCTTTTGCACGTCAGTTGGGAGCACCATAAAGAATTTTTTTTTTCTTTTCTTTTTGGTTAATTACATATGGTACATTTAAATGTTAAATAGTATAAAAGTTTATGTCAAATGCCAAACTTCATTTATTTATAATAATATATTCAAATTCAAAAAGTAAGATGAAATTTTAACTTTCTTAATGAGTTGAAATACATCAATTTATTTGTTTATTTTTTAAAACAAAATATTTGATATGTAAATAATAAAAGTTAATTGATATGACTATTATTTTTTATTTTTTATTTTGAAAATATTAAATGCCGTAAAAAATTATAGACATATGTGTTTCCAAAGATCACGTTGATCTATTATGAATCTTGAATCATATTTAAAATGAAAATTTTCAAAATTAAATTCAAGATCATACAAATTTATAGTTGAACTGAGCTTCTCAATGACATCACCGTTGGACATAAAAATTTGTTCAATATGAACCCAAATTACTCCAAATGAAGGGCTTAAAGCATATCTAGAGGCTTCAAAATATTAATTCAATGACGAAATAATCTCAAAATGTGGTATACTTATAGTCGAATTGAGCGGCTCAAAAAGAAGAATCTAACAACTCCAAGATCGCTTGATTTTGAAATCATTTAGCCACCTAAATGCTGAAAAGGTATCTATGATTGAGGGAATCAATATAGATCGTTCGATGTAGTGCTATGGATTTGGTCAAGTTTTTCTCCATATTTACAAGATATGTAACTTCTAAAAATCTATAAATAGGCCCCCACTCCCTACATGAAAGGGAGGTTGGGACCCTTGACTATAGAGGGAAAAATAGCTCTATGGATTGAAGAATCTTGGAGCTCTAATCGAGCACAAATATAGGTCAACCATGGTGCACGCCCGTCGCAATCACACATCCTCCTTGTCGCCACTATCTGACTTCAGCACAACCACTGTGGTCTGAACTTTCATCGAGCGACCATCCTAGTCAAAACTCCTCCACCCAGCCGTCGACAGACCATCATTTCCAAACCTTTTGCCTACCGACCACCACCATTAGACTTTCACTAGCTAACAATCACTTCACCATCATTTTCAACCAACCTCAGCCCTAACACAACCATTGTCCAATTACAATCCCTCTGAATTTTGTCACTTGATTATGGTCCCTCCGACCACCGTCGCCCTACTATAGTATCTCCAACCATCGTCGCTGGACTATGATCGCTCCGACCTCGGATGCCTAACTACGATCCCTCCGATCATTATCACCCAACTATAGTCCCTCTATCGCCGTCGCTCAACCACAACATCTCCTATCATCATCGCCCGACTACAGTCTCTCCAACCTCTATTGTCTTGCTATAGTTCTTCGACTACCGTAGCCTAATTATAATCCCTCTAACTATTGTTGCTCAGCTATGGTCCTTCCGACTTTCATCACTTCACTAGGGTCTTTTATGCTACCATTTCCCGACTACCGTCCCTTTGACCTATATCACCCGACTACGATTCTTCGGTCGCCATCGTTCGATTATGGTCCAGTCGACCAAACCAACAGGTCAACGATCTCTTAAGAACAACTCCTATGCTATTGGATTCTTCAATTTTAACAATGTACTATGCTCTATATGATGTATATTTGCTACATTTTGCTAACGCCTTTCCCAAAGTAAGGGCTTCATTTGTAATCAACGATAAACACTTGTTAAATCATTTCAACTAGTCTTGGCTTGTGGTTTTTCTTTTTTTTTTTTAGAATTTTTCACGTAAAACTTCTCGTGTCTCTTATGATTCTTGCACCCATCTCTCTTATATATGATTCTTTACTGCCATAAATATTCTACCATATAAAAAGACAAAAATCATTCCAAATGATAGAAATTAGAGTAACAATTTTTTCATTTGTACTACTAATCTAATGATAAGAAAAAATAACTAGTTCTTTTTAATTCAGAATTACTCTCTTAAGCATTTTTTTTAATATATACATTTTCACAAAAATGGATCATAATATTGAAAAAAATTTAACGGAAAAAACTCATCTGGATATATATTCTGACCAAATTTTTTGTGTCTCAATAAAATGTAAAATTCTTGAATTTACTTAGAGATATATACAATACATGTAGTTTCATTTTAGAGTGTTCACTGCAAAGCAAAAAAATCTCGGCCTAAAATTCCAATAAAGAATTTTCAAATGCACCCTTCGTTCATTTTGTAACAACTTTCAGGAATTCGCTCGAATAGAGCTAATTCCAAATTCCTCGCTTATGTGACTTTGTCGGAACCCTAGCGAGTCTCCGTTGTCTGTCACGATCGAAGATGCCTGATGAGCTCACGCAAAAGAACGGTCATGTTGACGCCGTTTTAATAACTGTCATTGCGATCCTTCACAGGTCATAAATCCAACGATTTTCTCCGGCAATCCTTCACGGGTAGTTGATCTGTTGAAACCCTCCGGTGACTCCTTTTGATCTGTTCAAACCCTCCGGTTAGTTAAATTAATTCTGGAGATGAGTGAAATATGTGATTGATAAATCAAAATTTGTGTTTTTCTCATCATAAAATTAATAAAAAATCTAATAAAATTCATCAGGGTCAAATTTTAACATGCCATGATAATTTTATAACATAAACATTGCAATTTAATCATATTAAATGTTAGGTATGTCTAATGGGATCTCCAGTCGAAATTCTCATTTTTCACTGTAAAATGCAGTAAAATAAAAAAGCGCCGTGATTCATCTCCAATGGAACGCTATTTTGCCCCCAAATCATTGCTCGTTTCTTTAGCGCCTTTCTCAGACGAGTTCGGTAAAGAGAAAGAAATGGCGCAAAGGAACAGTGCGATTCCAATATTGGCGTTGCTCTGTTCAACTGAGATCAAATGATGGAAAAAATGACGTTCGGTTGCGACGTTTGAGGGCCTCCATTCGGCCGTTTGCCGAACGGTTGGAGATGGTCTAACACCCCATCCTTTTCTAGTCTTTTCCTATAATAACATTTTTTAATCAAATTAGTTCTCAATTATAATAGTGAATATGTGCTTTTCATCCTAAACTTTCTCAACTCCTTAGATATACAAGTTTGATGACTCAATAATAAAATAAAATATATTTGGTTGAAGCTTAATTTACAAAGGCAACCCAATTATGTTGAAGCTAATTGAGATGGCTAATTGGATCACCAACTTCTCTTAAATTATAAGTGCACTTTCATGTACTTTTTATACTTGATTTTCAATTTTAAATTTATCCTTAAAAAACAGCTCACACATGTACTAACCTTAGATGAAATTGTTAGCGCATATCAAAATATATTTATTATCATCAAAATTATAATTATAAGCAATGTTGTGAAAAAAAAATTGGACAACGAATTAGAAGAATAAGTGGTTCACGGTTCAACCAATTTGACCGATCAAATCGGGGTCAAATCGGATGATCTAGTAATACTAATATTATTAAAAATTAATAAAACTAACATAATAATGATGTTATTATTCCAAATATGAGACAAAAAATTAAATGAAAAAAAAAACATAAAACTTACATAATTAATTAAAATAAATATTTTTAAAATCTCACATAAGAGCAAAGAAAATCCCAACCCTAATAATTTTAAGAATTTACATTCATAATAATATGATAATTTTAAATTTAAATATTTTTCAATTTTTAAATTTGATTTTCAATATAAATTTAATTTACATATAACCATATATTTCAATACAAATTATTACTAATTTATAAATACAAATTAGTAACAAATAACCATATAACCATATTTAGATTGTTAGACTTAATAGAGTTCTCTAACTCTTTGCATAAACTCGAATCATAATTTATGTAAAAGAAATTAAAAGAAAACCTTGAATTTACATAAGTCTTAAATCCTCAAGATCTTAAACAAGATGATTTTCACAATCTTTAATCGGAAGAAAAACATAAGCTTAATATAATATTTATATTAATTTATTAAGCTTAATATTATATTAAATATTAAATTAACTTATTTAATTATTTAAATAAAAAACTATTTAACTGGCCAATTTTAAAAAAAATGGGACCAATTCACCATTTGAACCGGCAATTCTTTCCGGTTCAACCCGATTTGATGCAAAGCTGATTCTTAAGTTGATTCGTACCGACCATCTCATCAGTTCACGATCAAATCGGCCAGTATGATCCACCTTAGCCTTTAAAACTATGATTATATACTTATCTCAAGTGATTTACAACATTGTTTTTAAGTGAATATTATTTAAAACATAAGTTAACTAATCCACTTGTACACTAAAATTTCATTTGTAATAGTTTTCTTACTGCTTTTTATAACATTTTATCGTACAAAAGTTTCTTATAAGTAATAAAAAATAGTAGTCAAAATTTATCCCAAACGATCATTTAAATGCATTTAAATTTAAATCCATAGGCTTCCTTTCCATAAACAAAAAAAATATATCAATACAGATCATTGAAATGCCACAAAATTTTACAACATGATGTCAAAGAAGTCAAATAGAGTTGATTTTGTTTATACAGGAGCTTTATTTAGTAGTCTTGTCTATTAGTAGATGCATTAAATAAATTCTCTTTCATAGAGATGATCAAATTGTTGCAAGTTCGTTTCTCATGATTATCAAGTTGCGAAAAAGCTATGCCACCATTGAGAAAACAAGAACCAGTAAACCAAATAATTATTAGAAAAAAATATAGCTCATAGCCATAGATAAAAAGAGTTCCTTAAAACATCTTCTCCTACCATAGTCCAAAATCTAGGTGACTAAGTCAGCAAGGCTTGCGCCTTTCTGCCTATTTATGTGGACAACAATACATTTACCTCTAAGAAATACTTCCTCGCACCCACAAAATTAGCACAATTTCAACACAAAAAGCTCTTAGGTTTTATTTGGGACAGCTTTCTGACTGCTATCTAAAGCAGTTTTCTAGAACAAAAATTTATATTAAAAAGTTGATTTAAAAAGTAGTAAGAAAGCTGTCACAAATAAAATCTTAGTAAAATGTTATATACAATAACTCGTTAAAAAAGGGAATGTGAGCATCATCACATGTTTTTAAGAGTTTTCTTTAGTGAGGTGGTGTTAAAATATATACTGATTTGAGTGGTTGAAGAAGCATTTCTCTACCTCCAAAATGACTACAGTTGTGCACAAAGGATTTCATTCCAGGTGTCAGGAATTCCTGGAAGGCACCAATGCAAGCAATCCTGGACACCCTTTGCAGCCGTAAGACTACCCCTGGATATGTGCGCCTCGTCCCTCAATTTAGAAAGAGCAGTTATGTCCAAAAGCTTCACCTTTGAACCCTTCACAGCACTCTCAACAACTGTATCAAGAGAGCCATCTTGTAAAACCTCACTTCCATTTGACAAAGGTTTAGTGTTGTTACAGCTCCCTCCAGTATTCCAATCCCCGTTAAAGAAATGCCTTGGAGATATAGTCATGAAGAAGGCCTTCAGCTGGGGATTCTGAGAAATCTGGAAATCAATCCATTTAACTATGCTATGGATGGTAAGATTCTTTGCATTTCCTATATCTGCAAGCTTTCGATCAGCAATGGGCTTTCCTCCGACAAACATTTCCCATTTGTTTGCTTTGATCTTTCCCCTATTCCAATGGTGTCCAGTGTTCAGAACAAGAACATCAAATCTATGAATATAATTTCTCAAAAAAGGCACGGGACGATCGAGATGCATGGCATAACTCGTAGATGGATCTGATCGATTCAGAGACTCTAGCTCGCAAAGTGTGGCCGACCAATAGTACAGGATGGTTGTGCCAGTGTCGGCGAACCTGTAAGCCCAACCGTCAGGTCTCACGGCACCAGGTGCTTTTACAAGGCCATACTCTATACCCACATCTTTCACTCCAGGAAAATGATTACCTCCTGTGACCATACAAATCAGGGATTGGAACTGCTGCCTTCCCAAGGAATCTCCTACCAAAGCAATAGTTTTGCCCCTCATCCTGGACTCCATCATCCAGGGCATTAGAATGCATATAATAATGAATGTGCCGCTAAATGTACGAATATAGGCTTCGTTTGGGACGGCTTTTTTATTGCTTCTTAAAACAGCTTTCTAGTACAAAAATTAAATTTTTTATACAAAAAATCCGCTTTAAGAAGCAGTAAGAAAGCCATCCCAAACGAAGTCATAATTAACTATTTTACCACCATAATCATGAATTACAAAAAAAGTGATGAAAACAAACCTTTTCAAGAATGCAGACCCTTCAAACTCGGGCATCTCACAATCTAATGGCTGCCATCTATATCTCTCATAGGAAAAATCTTCACGTTGCATCAATCTGCATGCCCACATGTCAGATAACCACTGCTTGCATCCAAGCCCAGAATATAATGGCCTTCGGTTGTCTGCAACCCATTTACCCTTCTCATATTTACAAACTGAAAGCAAATTTGACAGAAACTGTAAATCAAGTGGAAGAAGAATTTTGATGAAATTTACTCCAATATGCTGGCTGGAAACATAAGCAGGTCAAATATGAGATTCTATCATAGAAAAACATCTAAATGTCGAGCACAAAAATCACAGTATTATGATGGATATGTGATGAAATTTTAATAGAAAATTAAATTCATTACGGAAGTCCACCCAATAAAAGGCTTTTTGTCAAAAGACCAATGATGTAGAGATTTTAAGAGTAAGATTTATGATATAGATCTAATATGCGATTCATAATTAGATGCAATCAATTTATATAAATATACAAGCAAATAATTCGTGAAAGCATGCAATTAATCTCAGATAACTACTAGCTACTTTTTGCGAAAATAGAAACTGTTAAAATCTAATTCCAGTGAAAGGTCGCCTTCCATTAAAAATAGTAAAAATAAATTGAAGTGCATGGAAGTCGCACAACAAACTGAAATTTCGTGCATTGAAAAAAATTTATAATAAATATGAAGGGAACCATTCCCAATTCTAAAAAATAACAACAGCAAAGGAAAAGAAAAATAACAGGAAAAAAGATAGCCGAAAAAGAAAAGGAAAACAAATAAAAACCAGTAGGTAAGCATCAAGAACAAGGGGCTTCATGTGGGACTATGATCATTCATCTTTTTTAATACCACATATCTACTATTAACATATGCAGCGGACTCATAATTTTTAAAGCTAACAAGTTTTCAGTGAGTACAAACAAATCAACAACAATAATATCAAGTTTCATCCCACTATATAGGGTCGGCTGCATGAATTATTTTTCTCCATTATATCTAGTTAAGAGTCAAATTCTCATTTAAATTTAGTAAAAAGAGGTAACTTCTAACATTTTCTACCCAAGTCATTTTAAGTATGCACCTAACTTTCTTAGCATAAGCCAAATCCAATATATCTATAATCCTAAACGGGACATCGAAAGGACAATATTTTATGTGTCCAAATCATCTAAGGCGACTTCCTCTAATCTTATCTGTCACTGGAGCTACTCCAACCTTTTCACGTACATACTTGCAGGGGCGGAACCCCTTTGTTGCTAGGGGGGGCAATTGCTCCCCCTCAAAAAAAAAATTTTCATTATACTCCTTTTTGGGTAATTTTTAATTTTTATTATAAGGATTTTTGGGCAATTTCCCCCCTCTAAAAATGTTAAAATATTATGGTCTTTAGACAATTGCCCCTAATATAATTAAATACATTGTGTAGATGTGTTATTAATAGGGAATGATGAACACTGCCAGGGGGCGCTGCCCCCCTTGGACCCCCAACATATATGCGAGCAGTTACTTATAAGTTTTCCCCCCCTGAAAATTATGGCCGGTTCCACCCCTGCATACTTGTTTCGCATCTTGTCCTAAGAGTGAAGCCACTCATCCACCTGAGCATCCTCATTTATGCAACACTTAATTTTACGCTTCTCTTTTAATGACCAACATTCTGCGTCATAAAATATTGCAGGTCTCACCACCAACTTATAGAATTTTCTCTTAAGTTTGAGGGGTACTTTTCTATAACACAATGGGCCTGATGCATTCCTCCATTTCAACTATTCAACTTGAATTTTCTTAATAATATCCCATCTATTTCACCATCACTTCGAATAATAGACATAAGTTATCTAAAACGTGTACTCTTATTATGATTTGATCGTCCAAAGTCACAATTCTCACACTAGATCTATTACTACTAAAATTACACTCAATGTATTCAGTTTTAGATCTACTCAACGAAAACGTTTAAACTCTAATATTGACCTCCATAATTCAAGTTTTCGTACAACTCCCTTCTAATCTTATCAACAAGAAGAATATCATAAACAAAAAGCATACACTAGGGTACATCCACTGTAAATGTCTAGTAAGAACATCCATGACTGAAGCAAAAAGTGATCCCGGATGTAATCCAACTAAAATAGGAAAATACTTGGTCAAATCATCTTGTGTTTGAACATAAGTAACAACTCCTGCAGACATATCCTTAATGACTTGAATATAAGCATTATTAACTCTTTTATTTTCTAAAACCCTCCAAAGCACTTCTCTCGGAACTTTATCATATACTTTCTCTAAATCAATAAATAGCATATGAAGATCCTCTTTATTCTCTCTATACTTCTTTACCAAACCTCTCAATAAATGTGTAGCTTCTATAGTAGACATACCCGACATGAATCCAAATTGATATCACGTCGTAACCAACGCTCAATAACTCTATCCCATAGTTTTGATGTATGACATATTAACTCAATTCCTCTATAATTCCCACACTCTTGTTCATCACATTTATTCTTAAAAATATGAATTACTCATTCTCCACTCATCTGACATCTTTTTAGTCTTAAAAATAATATTGAAAAGTTTTATAAGCCAATATATTCTTTCATCTCCTAAGCATTTCCACACCTTTATTAGAATATCACTAGATCCAATAGCTTTTTCACCCTTCATTTTTTTAAAGTATCTCTAACTTCGATTTTACTAATACAACAATAAAAATAAAATTTTTTATTTTTATTTAGGATGCAAAGGTTACTATAATTAATCATATTCTCACAATTTTCATTGAAAAACTTATCGAAATATATCATCCACCATTATAGAATATATTCTTCTAATAAAATATTTTTTTTTATTTTCATTCTTAATGCACTTCACTTAAATTAAATCTTTACTTCTCCTATCTCTTTGTTTGGCTAACTTATACATACATCTTTCAACCTCCTTAGTATCTAATTTATTATATAAAAAAGTAAAAGCTAAATTTATTTGCATTGCATATTGATTTCTTAGATTTCTTATGAGCCTCTTTATAACTTTCCCAAATTTTCAAGCATTTACATCCAAACCAATTTTTTAATAAAACTTCTTATTTTTTACCTTTTTCTTACACATTTTGATTTCACAATCAACTATTTTTACTAGAATGAGCTTTTCCTTTTGATACTCCAAGCACATCTTTTGAAATATTATTAATATCACTCACTATTTTTTTCCAAATAACATTAGCTTACTCATACACAATCAAAATCTTAAGATCTTAAATCTTACTTTCAAAAATATTTTTATTAGTATTTTTTAAATGCCCCCATCAAACTTAGGAAAACACTTTACTTTTCATATTTCGTTCTTTCATCTTGAAGTCCAAAACTAATAAGCGATGTTTGGTACATAAACTTTCATTCGAAATAACTTTACAATCTTTGCAATCTTAAACTATATATTTTTCTTATAAGAAAAAAAAAATCAATTTGAGTTTTACCATATCAATTCTAATAAGTGATGAGAACTATATAAATCATATTATTTATTTATATCTGTATAATAACCTATATTCCAAGTTATTATCTGTATAATAACCTATATTCCAAGTTATTATCCTAGTCCTAGTTTCATGGACTAACTTCTTTACCCACATCCGTCCATGATGTGGGAACCTTTGCTTATTTAAAACTGCACTCAAGCGTCAAAGCAATAGCCCTTATACACTCCTCGTTGTATTTGGGGCATATTGTGCATCACTTCCAAGGAAAACCCTAGCATTAACACAATGTATTAAATGATTTATGTCATGATTATTCAGCAAATTTTACGTTGGTTGTCGACTACCTAATGCAACCATCCACTTTTCTCATTCATGGCTTATATATATTTCTCATCCAGGGTTGTCGCCTACTTCGTTACTTATAACACCATATCATATTTTACTTGAGAGAAACTCTTCACTTTTCGTTTGAGGGTGAGTCTTTGTTGGGCAAGAGAGCTGAATGTGCACAGAACGTTTTGTAAAATGAGAGAGACATGCAAGATTTAATTCATTAATGATAATTATCAATAAAAAGTGCACAACTAAGCAAGCACAAAACATTATCAGATGAGAAAAAGAACAAAAAAATAAAATAAATCAACAACGCTAAACTGAGGTGACTGAACTAATAGCAGGAAGAGAAAAGCCCCAAGGGTCTACATTAAAAATGTCTAACTGAAACATGAGATATTTTAGAGTGTGGCAATACCTTGCCTGCTTTTTCTACCCCTCTCGAAATATATATATATATATATATATATATATATATATATGTGTGTGTGTGTGTTTTGAAACTTCATACCCACAAGCTTCTTTGTGCTAGAAATGCTAACATCACAAGCAAAAGAAAGAGAGTCTAGAACACCCATGTCTCTTGCAGTAGAAATAACATCAAGAGCAAAAACCCCATGTGGTTTTGTAACATTAATCATTTGAGTAAGCGTGGTATCAATAAAAAATGTTGTGCTAGCACCACATGAAGGCATTAATTCTAAGCAAGATTCAAAGATAATTCATATTTTTAAGCACAAACCATGGAACAAGCAGTCAAAGAAACCACAAATTCATTTAAGCAATGGTTTTTATCATATGGAAGATCCCCAGTTCCATGGACCATGGTAGCTAAGCTTTCATAGCTCTTCCGGTGTGCCCTAAAGTATTTTGAGAAATTATGAATAAATATTTGGCAAAAAGAAGCCACAATATGTGGAGCCAATCCAACTTTCTTTCTTTAGCGAGGAAGTAATATCCAATTCAACCAATAACCTAGCCACTAAATGCATGAATAGTCTGACAGTGGCAACATCCTCAAGTGATTTACCAAAAAATTGAATCAAGAGAATGTAAAATAAATTAATTGAAATAGTGAATCCGAAGCAGTGGAAAACCATCCAATTTGTAATAAGACAAAACTTTACAAAACAATTAAAATGAGATGGCCACTTCAACATACAAATAGGAAATCTATCCACATAATATGTTTGTCAAGAAAAGAGTCTTTTAGTAATCACATTTTTAGGATTGACTTCATAAAAATATGATGAGAATCAATAAGCTCAATAGCAATCCCCAACAAAATGCAAATCGACCAAGAATCTATAAATAATCTCCATGTTGGGTTGGCCTAAATAAAACTTATCAA